CTGATCACTCAGAAGGGTTTGCCTCTTCTTAGGCAAAACCATTTAACCGCTCTCACCGAATAGGAGAAAAAGCTCTTGATAAAAAGCCCGTGGAAGACCCCCTTGAATCTTTTACCCCCAAGAAATCCAAAGTAGACCTCTCGAGTTCACTAGAATCTGACCTAAATTTCTGGGATATCCCAAATAGGGATTTCTTTGTTGCTCTAAAAGACAAGCCCATTGCTCACGGCAAAGTAATCGGCCTTGATGATATGGAGGCCCTAAATTGTAAGGTAAAGGATCTGTTTGTTTTTCAAGGATGGTCTAAATTCCTCTCTGTACCCCCTCCCAAAGAGTTTGAACCTTTAGTAAGAATGTTATATGCAAATCTACGCTCTAGCAAGCTAGATTATTTAGAATCCCTAGTTCTAGGAAAACGCATTGTCCTTGATTGTGCCATGTTTGACTCAATTTTTCAGTGTAAGTGCTCCGATTTTCCCATGCTTTTCAAGAATACTTGGCCTGATGATTTTGAAATTTCTTTTGATCAAGCAAAATGTTGTATTGCTAAGTGTCCATCTGATTCCCTTCCTAACCAGTTAGGTCCTAGTGATGTTCATTTCAAGACCCAAGTTCTGGCCCATATCGTTGCAACTACTCTTTTTTCTCGCACTAGCTCAATCTTCACCTTCTCTCAACGAGATACCTTTCTTGTCTACTGTCTTGTAACCAAACTTAAGATTTAACTATCCTCATGGGTCATAAACTTCATGATTGAGAGTGCTGATAATCCCACCAGTCTACCCTATGGTATGGCTATCACCCATATCTTGGAAGTCCGCAACATCTCTATTTCAGAACACCCCTTTGTCTCTGTTTCTAAGTCCTACAACTCTAGAGCCTTTGCCAATATGGGGTATGTGTGTACTAAGGGCTCCTGGCTGAAGAAACATGAAGGTGAAGTCAAGAATGTTTAGCCTGATTCCAAGATCAAAGCCTGTGTTTCCCATCATAGTATAAGTGATCCTGATCTTGTAGAAAATTTGGCTGCTATTGACAACAAGTTGACTATTATCAAGGACCTTCTTGGTGAAACTCAATCTACGGTTGGAAATATCCATGGCATCTCCAAAGAGACTGGGTCCGGCGTTTCAAAGATTAGGGTCAAAATTCTCAAACATGCAGAAAATGCAGTCAAAGCCTTCAAGGAAGTACATGACATGATTGATGGGATGACAGTTTCAGCTAATGCTAGCTTTGAGCGTTTGAAGGAGGCGATTTGCAACACTCTCACCTATTTCTTGCATTGTTAATTGTGGATATTTCAGACAATTTTCTTTTGCCATTTTGCTATTTTGGACTGGATAACCAGTCGCTGGATATTTCTCTTTACTTTTGCTAAACTCTGCATGCCTATAATTTATAAATATTTGCCTATGATGTGTCAGTTTCTGCTAAATTTTAACTGTATATATGCATATCCCCTCTTTGTTGATGTCAAAAAAGGGGGATAAAAGAAGTTATACATTGCAGGACAAACGACAACTCATGTTGAGGGGGAGTCGACTGAAGCATATGAGAAAAGAAGATTAACAGCAGGACAAATAGCATCACCTGTTGAAGGGAAGTCGACTGAAGCACATGTTGAAGGGGAGTCGACTACAACTGAGCAGGCCAACATGGAAGTAAACTGTTGTTTATATATATTATTTTTGTCATCATAAAAAAGGGGGAGATTGTTAAATATAATTTTAATGATGAAAAATAATATATCACATTTGGTGCAGGATCACAAGGGATAAAACAAAGGAATCAAGAAGCCCTATAATTCAAGTATGGATTAAGGAAATAATCTGATAACGGGAGCTCTAGAAGCAAAGAAAAAGGAAAAGTATCAATGATTAGAGATGAAAAAGGAAGAAGCGGCAGAGATCCGGAAAAGAATCAATCAATGCCTTGATAGATAGCGAAGATCTGGAAAAGAATCAATCAACGCCTTGATAGTTGACTGGCGGAAGCTATTATAGGAAGGCCCCAAATCAAAGGAAAGCAAGATTGCGAAGCGATGCACTAGAGGTCGTTGAAGCCCAAAATCAAGGGATCCATCGGTGATCACTCAAGTAACGGAAAAGATATGTCCAGCGGATGAACAACCTGTCAAGACCACAAATCAAAGAAGATCAACGAAAACTTGACTTTATTCTTGGAAAGAATCAATTTATGATTCCTTTCAAGGATCAACTCCCTTGGTTTTGCAATCTCTTAAGATTCACGAGTCAAGAAGGCCTTGCGAANATACATTGAAGCAACCCAAGGGGACTGGAGTAACATTCACATTGAATCCGAACCAGTATAGAATTCTGGTGTCTTTATTTCCTGCATTTTATTCTGCACTACTATTATTATGTTCTTATCTCTAGTAAACTAATTGGTAAACTAGTCAACTACTTATAATATAAAATTAAAATAGGCAAATCATCCCCCTCTTGTACATTCAAAAAGTAATATAATCTTCTGAAGAAATTATTGAAGTCATAATTGCCGAGAACATCTGAGAACCTTATAAATTCAAATTCTGTTCTATCTACTGGTTGTTTCCTATTAAAGTCTTAAATACAATTTTGGTGCATAAGTACCTTTCTGAATTTATCTTGAATTTGCAGTAGCACACCAATACTTTGTGGGGTCTTATTACTCTATCGAACTATTCTAAAGTGGAATAAAAGGAAAGTGCATAAATTACGTGTCGTAACAATGTGGCATAATCAATGCTATTTGCATAAGCTTATCTATCATTCCTTATGTTATTTTGTTGATTAATAGGAAGTCGGAGTTAAAGATCCAAAAACACTAAAAGCACCAAAATCCACGGAAGAATCCAATCTACGATCATTTATGCAATCGCAGAATAGAAATGCTAGTCGCAAATAGTTTGCCAAAGTAGTCAGGGATTTTCTATTTTGAAAGTCAAGCCTGCGGTCCATTCTGAATACGAATGCGAATTGCGAAGAGATAGAAGAGTGCAACAGGAAATGACAGTTCTAAGAAAACATCTACGGCCCTTTTGGTAAGATTATACACATCATATGATTGTGGGTTTGAGATGAGGTATCTCGAAAAGATTTTGTTGCGAAACTTGTGTTAGAACGACTTGATTCATTGGTTGTTATTTGTTTTCTTTATTTGGTTTCAATGGTACTTTCACGATGTTCATATTACGTTACTGCTTATATCATATCTTGATTCTTGTTGCCATTTACTGATTCCTGCTTTCATTATTAGCTTTATACTTCTATACTGCACATGTTATTTTGACTAGTAAGGGTTTTGACTTGTACCTCATCACTACTCCACCGAGGTTAGTCTTTATACTTACTGAGTACCGACCGTGGTGTACTTCATACTACACTTGTGCACATTTTTGTGCAGATCCAGGTATTGGAGATATCAGACTCAAGCATAGTTAGCTTATTGATCTTGAGAATTCAAGGTAGAGCAACTTGGTCGTCGCAGTTCCTTGGAGTCCTTTCCTTTCATTGTACTATCAGCTTGTTATTTGGACAGTATTGTATTTCAATCTTTGAAATCTTTCCATATATTCAGCTAGAATTCGTAACTCTATATTACCTAGTCTTGGGAGGTTGTAGTGATTATTGTCGCGTCGGCTTATTTCACATTTATTTCGGTATTTTATATAATTCTCTCATTTAAATATCATTATTAAATTGGCTTAATCGTGGTAAGTAACCGGCCTACCTAGTCTTAGAGACTAGGTGCCATCATGATGCCTGGGAGCGGGATTTTGGTCGTGACAAAATTCCTTATAGATTGCAAGATATAAGCTCCCGAATTCAGCTCGGTGACCACAAATTTTCTGCTTCGCGAACGCAATTCACAGATCAAATATTCCATTTTACTCTTCGCGATCGCGGCCAAGAGCTCCGCGATTGCGAAGTACACCATGTAGCCAAAAACCAGCAGTTGAAATAGGCCTAAAATGATCCGAAACTAACCTGAAACTCACCTGAGCTCCTATGGACCCCGTCCAATCATACCAACAAGTCCATACACCTAAACCAAATTTATCCAAAAGCTCGAAATATAACAAATAACATCAAAACTAAGAGTCGAAGATCAAGATCATTCTCTTAACTTTCAATTCTTCAAACTTCGCCGAACGCGTCCGAATACTACCATATAAACTCCGAATTAAACCAAACTTTGCACACAAGTTTCACATGACAAAATGAACCTATTCTAACTCTCAGAATATCAATCCAAACCCGATAACATCGAAGTCAACTCCTGGTCAAACCTATGAACTTTGCAAAGCTTTAAATTGTCAACTTTCGCCAAATAGTGCGGAAACCTTCCAGGAACATCCTAATGCAAATCTGGGCGTAAACCCAAGTCCAAAATCACTATCCGAACCTAATGGACCATCAAAACTCCGTTCCGAGGTAAGTTACACAAAAGTAAAATTTGGTGAACTCTTCCAACTTAAAGCTTCTAAAATGAGAATCATTCTTCCAAATCAATCAGAATCATCCGAAAACCAAAACCGACGATTCACACAAGTCATAATACATCGTACGGAACTACTCATGCCCTCGAACCACCGAACGGAATGCAAATGCTCAAAACGACCGATCGAGTCGTTACAAAATTAATGATTATTAGGGAGAATTAATAACAATTTAAATGGAGATAAGTGATGAAAGAAAGACTATTTATACAAGATTAGTTCAAGCTTATGTGAATTAGACAAAAGAAGCAAGACGTAACTGTAATGTTAATTGGCAACAACTTTCAATTGTATTTATTTCAATCATATTGTAAAATAGTAGCATCAACTTTGAAATTATACGAAATGATTTGTGAAAATTTGACTACAAGCAATTAGAAGATTCATTTATCACTAATAATTAGTACATAATTATCTAGTTATATATATATATAATATAACTTGAGGAACTTTGAAGCCTAAGCTGTTTTGAGGTTTAAAACCACTCCTTTAAGGGTTATGCAAGGCCCTGTCCCCATGGACAAAAAATAATCATGTAGTCAGCTCCTGTACATGTAAATAAAGCATCTTCGTCAAAAGGATAAGTATAAGAATTAGGACAGAATCCCTTGTATTCTTTAGAGTAGCTCGACGGCTTGCATGTTTGTGGAGAACTATATGCACCAGTACAACATAAATCATCCCGCTGATACGCCATACATGCGCTTTTGCACCCAATGACATTATTACCTTGATCTCGTACTTCAAACTCATCTTGTTCTGCACAGTGCACGTCGTTCAAATCCACAAGACAACCTATTTGACTGCAATCAGGTCTATTTATAGGGATAACAGAGACTGGTAGATTAAAACCATCGACTATGCTAACAGAGTAAAAATCATTTCCCCCAGACCAGCTTGATAATGTAAATTGTACAATGGTTATTGGTGGAATACCACCAGCACCATTGCACGTTATTTGGCCCGTTGCACAATCTCCGCTAACACAAGTAAAATTTCTACCGTATTGGGCGCAAAGATATCTTGCCCATAATCTTCCTGACCATGAGTTTGGTATCTCAAGTGTTTGTGTTGCTTTTGATGCTAATAAGAATCCTGTAGGAATCGTCGCTCCTTGGCTAGTTTGTGTAGCTGGCCAAATTGTGTGATCGCAGTTGTTCTTTATTGTGAATTTGGTTGCATAAGATCCTGCAGAATGTCATTTCTTAAGCATAAGCACAAACATTAACATCATCATACAAATTATAGTGAACACTAATAAAAGAGTTATTTTCACTTGTTTTCTCCATCTATACAAAAAAAAAAAGGAAAAAGGAAAAGAAATATTATGACTTGAAATCATGCAAACAATCATGGTATCGCAGTTTTTGATTATTTCCACCGCTTTAAGTGCTTTATTGTACTCGTTTAGAAAAGAGAATTAAAAATTGAATTACTTCTATATGTAATACAATTATTTAAGCTATAGGGTAGGCACCAAAATTAAAATTACCATAGAGGAAGAACACCGAGAAGATAACAGCAATGAGAAAATATACCCTCATTCTTGAATATTTTTATCAAAGATTTTATTTTATGAACTGAAATAGACATGACTTGAATCTATATAAGAAGTCCTAAAACAGAAGAGTTACATGAGAAGTCTGTAGTCAACTATTTCGTTGGCTAAGATTTATAGCAATAAGTGTAAAATTATCCTGTCTATAAAAGGTATTAAATCCTCTAAAGATATTACGGAAGTCATACTTGCCAAAAACATCTGAACCTGATCAATCTAATTTATTCGACATCTGTATGTTGTTCCCAAGTCAAGTCTTAAATATAATTTTGGGAAAATGCATAAATACTTGGCTCTGATTTGCAGTTGCACGATAATAAGGTTAATAGCAATAAATGTAAATTTATCCTACCTTTAAAAGGTATTATAAACTTCTAAGGATTACTGAAGACATAATTGGCAAGAACATGTGAGAACCTAATCAATTTAATTTCTGCTATATTTGTTGGCTGTTTCTCGGTAAGTCTTAAAGAATTTTGGGAAACTGCATACGTACCATCTTGAACTTACCTCAAATTTGCCGTTATACACTAATATTACCTCTGAACTGTTACAAAATGGAGTAAATATTCCCTTGAAGTGCGATAACCAAATATGTGTTGAGGGGATGAAATACAAATGTCTGACGTGTATTTTACCACTTAATCATTTTTTTCCTTTTCTTACTCATTCTTCTTTCGTTCTCTACCATCCATCTTTTCGAAATGTTTATTACATTAGGTAAATGCCCTCCTCGAACAAATACATTTCAAAGTTTTCTTGATTCTCCATTTTGGGGAAGGATCCGTTGAAAACAAACTCCAACCAAAAGTAAAAAGTTTACCTCTTCCTAACGAAAATGAGAAAAAATATCAAAGTAGTAGAGCTAGTGGATAGGCTCTCATGCCTCAAAACTGAGGAGCAAGAATTCTTAGAATCAACATATTTGTAATGATTCGATCGTTTTGAGTTTTAACTTTTCGTTATGATTTGAGACCTTGAATAGCTTTATTTGTTATTTTATATCTTGTGTGCATGGTTCGTTTCGGCTTCCGGAAAGTTTAGATATATTTTGGTAGAGAAATTCAATTCTAAAGCTTTAATGTTGTTAGAGTTGACCACAGTCAACAAACTTCATAAATGACATCGGATCGGTATTTTGACGATTCTGGTAGGTTCGTATGATAATTTTTGACTTGTACATATATTTGGTTTGGGCCGCGGGTGACCCGAGGCCGTTTCGGCGTTTATGGCTGAAAGTTGAAAGTTGAAAATTTGAGTTCATGAACATTGAATCTTTGAGTTTTGATGCCTGATTCTTAGTTTTGATGCTTTGAGCTTATGATCAAGTTCGTGTGAGATTTATATACTTATTTGCATATTTGGATGGGGTCATGAGGGTCTCGAGCAAGTTTCAGATTGGTTTCGAGCTATTTTGAAAAGTGTTGAATTTGCTGGTGTTGCTATTGTCGCAATTGCTACAACAGGTTCGTGAGTGCGAGGTCTGCATTTGTGAATGCTGACTCGCATTTGCGAAATTTTGGGAGAGATTAGGTTTCATCGCAATTGCAATGCATTGTCCACAAATGTGAAGTTCGCATTTCCGAATGTTGACTCGCATTTGCAAAGGAGCCAAACCTAGGGGAGATTCGCAATTGCAAAGTCTTGGTCGCATTTGCGATGTTCACAGTTGCGAAGTCCAGGTCATAATTGCGACTTCTGCACCGACACTTATTTGAAATTGCAAACTAAGTTGTTGCATAGTTCGCAATTGCAACATCTGCAGTTGGGTAGAAGGGAACGATTTTGAGACCTAGACTTCGTTAGAAGGTTATTTCTAAGAGGATTTTCTTTTCAACTTCAAACGTTAGTAACTTTAACTTGTTTTTGATTAGTATACATTATTCCTAATAGATTTTTATTCTTAAATCTAGGATTTTATAGAGTAAAAATATGGTTTTTGGGTAGTGACTTAAGATATGAATTTTGGAGATTTAAACCTCGATTTGAGGTGGGATCTCGAAACCAATCACATATTTGGAATTGGGATGAATGGATCATAGGGATTTAGTCTCGATTTATTAGTAGACCATATAGGCCTATGTTTACTTTTTGTTGACTTTTGGAATTTCATCATAGACTGAACCTTTATTTATTGGGGATGCATTCCTTAGCATTACTTGACTATGTCATATGATATTTGACTAGATTTTGATAGTTTTGAGGAGTATTTCTATGAAAAGAGGAATTGGGTTGTTAAATTTATTCCAGAATGAGGTAAATGTCTTGCCTAATTTTAATTTGAGGGAATATTTTCTAATAAATAATATTGCTAGCTACATGCGGGAGTGATGCATATGTGAGGTGACAAGCGTCCATGTATGTGACTGGGTTATTGATGACGTCTAAATCCACTATTAAAAAGTAAATGGACACGGTCGCATGAAATATAATTTACCCAACTATGAGTCGATGCCAAATCCTATAGAGAACAATATGTAGGCGATTAGGCGTGTAAGAGAATTATCACTTATAATACTAAGCCAAACACTTAGAAATATTTTGAAAAAATATTTATAACTAATTGCGAAAATATAAACTAACCTAGAAAGTAAATAAAATGATCAATGCCTACAAGCATGGATGCATTAGGAATTACACTCAAGTAACGATCCAATGTATTTCACGATTTTACAAATATGAGCGAGTTTTTGTTAATTAGCCTCGGGTAATAATTCTATATTAGCTTCTTCCGAAGACTAACAAGACTTCCTAATTGAATTATCCCTAAAATAATTAGGAGATTAAGTACACCCGAATATGGCTACAAGTAGTTCTATCCTATCCCTAGGTAGAATCTATAAACTGAGGGTTAATGCCTCAAGTTCTTGTTAATTAATCTTTCTCAATCCCAAATTATCTTTCCCAAAATTAATTCGAAGTGAAGGGGTGAGTCCTAAGGTTAGTTAATCCCTTTGAAAACATTAAAGAACAAGAATAATTAAACAACAACTCACATCATAATAAATAAAACTCATTCAATACATAAGCACAACAAGATATTTAATCCATACTTTAAATATGAATATTCCCATAAACAACATTCAAGTGTTGAAAAAAATATTACACACTTAGATATTCAATACAAAGTAAGGAAATGAAGAAATGAACATAAATGGGTAAGAAATTCTCAACCAAAAGCTTCAAATTTTCAAGTCCTAAGTGTGTGTGCAAGAACCCTACCTCCAATACTTGTGTTCTCTTAGTCAAGAGACTGAAAATAAGCCAAAAGATCTGTTTTCAATGAGGTAGGTCATGTATTTGTGGGTTTGCAATGGATAAGAATGTGAATTTCCAAGTGTGCCCAGGTCTGAAGCTTGTTGGCCCCACCTGCGGAACAATCATCGCAGGTGCGAAATTGATGCACTCAGATGCGATTTTTGATGAAAACAGCTATTCCGCAGAAGCAGACATATCACCGTAGAAGCGGCTTCGCAAATGCAGAACTCAACCGCAGAAGCGGATTTGTGATCGCAGGTGCGCTTGCAGTGAATTTTCTTCTATTCCGCAGATATGACCCTTCTTTCGCAGATGCGGGCCCGCTTATGCAGGCATCTTTCCGCAGATGCGATTTCTTTGAAGGCATTTTGCACTTCTTTCCCTCTTTTTTGCACGATTCCACTTTATTTAATTTCAATTCTCTTCAAGATTTTATTTGCCTGAAAATTTAGCAATGCGCACCATAAATCACCTTATTTTATAATTAAAGGTCACAAAAATGAAAGAAAAGAGACTAAGATAAGTGGTAAATTTTCCACTCATCAGTTATCCATGTTCGGATTGATTATATGCTTTTTTATGCCTTGTTGAATGATAAGTGGTGATTTTACCATTTATTCGAGTCTCCTTTTTTTGTTTTTGGTTCATTTATTTATAAAGTGACGTTATTTAATGTGTTAAGTTTGTATTTTCATCTTTGTTGAAGGTTAATTGGTGTTGGAGTCAAAAGAAGGTTGAGTGTGCAAAGGGATAAGACAACCGGATGAAATGCTTTGAGTTGTCGCACATGCGGATAAGGCCCCGGACATGCGGGCTCTCATATGCGACCATGGTGACCGCATTTACAAAAAATAGACTGATTCATCACCGTCACATCTGTGGAGAAATACAGTTGCATCTACGTAATTGGAATGAGCCAAGTTCTTTGCATCTGCGATGACATCCAATGCACCGGCGCCCCTATACCTTTGCACCTACGTTCGAGAAATCTGCATCTGTGATATTGGAAGAAATCAAGACCTTCGCATATGCGCCGGCTTTCACCCACCAGTGTGACCTTTAGTCTCGCACTTGCGATGCAATATTCCGAAGGTGCGATCGACGATATTTAGTTCTGGTCAGACTTGCTATTTTATATTTTCAGATTCCAAATCACATTTACTCGACCTAGCTCACTTTGGAAGACATTTTTGGCAGAAAATACAAGCTTTGGAGCTAGAGTTCTTGCACCCACACTTGGAAAATGAAAATTTGAAGATTTTAGATGAGATTTACTTACCCTTTTTACTCATTTCTTTAATTTCTTATTATGTATTGAATATCTAAGTGTGCAATATTTATTTATTTACTTAAACCTCATTTATGGAAATATTCACTGTTAAAGTTTGGATTAAAACTCTTATTGTGCTTATGTATTGAATATTCTTTTTATTAATTATAAAGTGATTTAATTATTTCTTCAATTATTCTTGT